CGAGATTTTCTACGTGCCGATGATGATTTTTTTATGCAGGCTCTTTTTCGCACAAACGATTGTCGATGAAACTGATTTTAACTTAAAAAAAAAAAAAAAAAAAAAAAAATAATACGATTTCACACGCGAGCAACAATCGCGCTAATGCCAATGCAGCACGCTACATTTTTCCCGCTGAAATTTTCCGAGCGACGAACTTTTCGCGATCTCGCTCGCGAAAGGTCATGAAACTAGAAGACCGCGCGTCGTCCATTGGAGTGCTAAGAGCGAAGCGGAACAAAGTCAACGACCGGTTGTTAATCGACTTTACATGATAATAGGCCGAAGCAAATCGTGCCACGGTTGCCTCCTCTAGAAAGTTCGATTCGTGTGCAGGAAAGTCGATTACTCTGAGAGACAAGAGGCCGCTGCTCGAAGACCTACGACGTTCCGATAAAGTCCCTTTTAAGCCGGACTTGCCGCAACCGAGCTCCATAACGAAAGTATCGCACTCTCCTATCCTCTAATCCTCTGAGCATCAAGACTTTAACTCTGCTGTAATTCATTCGGGTGATCGTCTAATCCCAAACATCCCCCGATTTAAATTTATTTTCAAAATATAATAAATAAGTTCTCTAATAGATTATTCATCTTAACGTTCCTATTCTACTTTTCAAGTTTCTCATTTGTCATTTGTTTCTAAAAAAATTAAATATTTTCAATAAATATTTAAGATATTTTCTTACAAATCATTTTGTTGACAATAGAAATTTATTTCAGTACTACTGATATCAATAACAAAATTTTTGATATATTTTATAAGCTTGCTTCACGTATCGGGTTAATTTTATTTTTCAAAAAAATTTTAACCAAAAAGAAAAAAGAATTATTTGAGCGAACATAAATTGCAAGAAGATTTTTCCCTTATTTCCTCGCTTCTGACGATGTAAGATAAGGCTTTATTCCGAGAAGGAATGTTGTGAGATAGCTCATAAAAATCGTGTAAGGAATAAGTTCGTGAATTAAGAGACAGATACTAAGTGAAGAGCCTCTTTGAAATACGTGAACAATGTATTTAAAAACTTCGCAACATCGTCGTACTCTTGTGGAAAGATTTTTATTTTTCAACTTGTAGTTTTCTGTAGCAATTAACAGTTGCGCTTTGACAACATGCTTTTTCATTAGCATCGTAAAATTGCTAGAGCTGCAGCTATTTAAGTATCGTTGAATCTTGTAACATTGGCGCTGGTTGACAAAGCTTATTGTATTCATGAATTGTATACGTACGAAGTGAACAAAGAAACTATAATTATAATTATATTTATTTTTCAAATATATTGCTTGGAATAATCGGCTTGCTATTAATTACCAAGAATGTAACTTTAATTATTTTTATTTTCTGATAAAAGATAGAATGATTAATAATATTTTTATCACGTTGTTAATAATGTTTAATTGATGTATGCTTTAAAACGCATTATAACGCGAAAATTTCACGCGTGGTGTTCCGATCCGCGAGAGAGTAACTTTGGCGTTTGAGTCAATCGCCGATCTCGCTGGTATTCAGTCGTTACTGGACCGTGGTGAGCATCAAGCATCAGGTGGGCGTAGGTAGTACCTACGCACTCTCGAGAGAGAGAGAGAAACCCGGAGGCACCTGCGTGCCGCCCACAAGGCAGCCAAGGCACTTCGGGCAACAAAAGCGTTGCTGCCATTCGATTCGATTAGCCGGCGAGCGATGAAGATCTTAATGTTATTCGCCGCGTAATCGTCCATCTGAAATATCCGCTTCTCGGCGGAGATAGACAAACGGGAAAACGCATGCGCACGCGGATAATGAAGCTTCCGTATACACTCTGGGTGTAGATGGGTCGTAGAAGATGACGAGAGACAATTGCCCTTCTCTTTTTGCCCTTCGAAAAGAACTTCTGCAGGCCGCCGCGATTAAAATGCGATCGTCATGAATTATTCTGGAATATTATTACAACGGTGAACAAAATATTTGGATTTTACATAATTCGACTCATTCAGCTTTGTAGCTCTAAATCTCACGCTCGGCACTCAAGAAGGCTCTAAATCGAGAGGAAAAGTCTTTTACCTTCAGCATACTTGATTAATGAGAGAAAAAAGAAACGATGATCGCGTCGATAAATCCAACTTTCGAAATACATGCGTATTCATAATGACTACAGGAAGTGATATTGAAGAGATTGAACTTTGCGTGCGGTTTTCACGATTTTAAACGAATTGCCGTCGACTTTTAGTCTTTTAGATTCTTCTCGTGACTATTATTGCCGAGAACGCCTTTCCTATCAAATTTGATGAATGTGCGATCGGGTACTTAAGAAAAAAGGCGCAGATTTCACTTCTTAATGAAGTTTCGCACGAACGCAAAATAAACATCATTGAGAGACTTATGTACTTTTCTAATTTCTACTTTCCCTTTTTTATTTTTATTAATCATTTCGATAAAATTTTCTTCGCAAAACTTATAACGAATCTTATATCCTACTATCTTTTATATCCTATGAGAATTAAACTTATATTTATATATAATTATTAAAATTTTAAAAATTTTTAAATTTTTTGTTAAAATAAATTATATATATTAATATAATAAATTATATAATAAATAAATAAATTACTTTTGTTAAAATAAATTTATATTTTTTTGTAACAATTATTAATATTATTATTTTATAAAATTTTTATAATAACGCATAAAGAACTTTTTATTAATATGCGCAAAATATTATTTTAGAAAATAAGAAGACTACCTGCCTGCTATAAAATTATATAAGGCATAATCATTTCAAGAATTATCTTTCGCCAAGATTCAATATCTCGTGTTATTTCTAGGAATAGTGAATCATAGCCTAGCTCTTTGATCATAAATCCGCTAGGTATTTATAAAAATAAATAAAAAAACGATTTGCTGCTTCATGCACGTGGGCTAAAAGTTGCCGACAAAAAGTCACGATTACGCCATTTACCGAAACCGCTGGTATTTGAATATCTTCCGCAAGACTACATTCATCAAGACGCACATCATTCATTAAAAAAGTATTTAAAGTGTCCTATTGATATGCGTCTCATATTCCACACGTAATCTGCCTATTTCGCCCACTTTCGATTATTTATCGAATAACTAATCGTATAAATTCGACGCGATCACATCCAGACGGTGATACGCGTCATTAGCGCTTCATGTATCGTGCGTTTCATTCTTTAAATACATACGACAACAAGAGAGAAATATAGCGTGACAAATCAATTCAGATCAATATTGTGCTTAATATATCCGCTCTTATATAATAAATAAATATATCGATACGCTTCATATAAATATCTATGAGAATGTTAGTAGTTAAAATAAATATTTCTAATAAATATTTCATGTTTTATCAATAAAATTTAACTGAAAAAAATTTAATTAAATATTTAATTAAAAAAATATTATTATCATTTTGATATTTGTTTTACAAAATGAAGATCTCAGAATGAAATAAAATTGCCATTGATTATAATCTCATTTTCTTTTAAGACATATATTTTCCTTATACACCGGGCGCGAATAATATGCTTATGCTATATACATACTTAATGTTTTTTATTATAGTATATTTTACGATATTTCTTATATATTTTATGGCGCATCTCCTTCGACGACACAAGGATATATTTTTTGATATCTCATTTTCATACAAAGTAATCATACAAAGTGATGTAGCCAAGATAGAGCACTCTTGAACCACTTTTTCTTGTCAAGGATTAAGAATTAAGATTTACTCATGCATCGTCGCGTAAATAATTCTCGTTACGGCGAGACGCAGAAATGCGTGAGTGGTGCATTCTATTTATACGCAATCCGAGTGTTTGCCAACAATAAAATCGTGGCGCAAATTCGGAGGTCATCAGCGTGAGAGCGTGGGAGTACTTTCACCACGACGTAAATGTTATTAGGGCCAAAGCGAAAAATGCGAAACATATAATACTGAAGGCGTGCTAAGCTCACTAAGAGAGGCGCCCGTTAAAATTCAACGCGTTGACAAATCACATGTTCCGTTCTCCAATACTCAGGGTAACGACAAAGCGCGCAATATGGCAATTTATCGGCGTTAATCGAATGGTCAAACTAGTTCGATTGTTATCACGTGTAGTCCGTGGACCGATTTTTCTGTCAGATCTCGTTTCTACACATATTTATTCTGCATATTTAAATCTTTTATCTATCTGGATTTTAAGACCCGTATTTGTTACGTAATATTTATAGTCGTACATAAAATTTGTCATAAAATTTGTTATGTTCGCAATTGAATTCGTAATGTTAAAAAAAATTACAAATATTATGAAAAGTAAATATTTTATGACGCATTCTGTAATCTATGTAATCTATGCTTTCTCATATAAATAAAATAAAAAGTGAGATGTAGATTTAAACGGCACCAAAATTTAAAGAGCCTCGATTAATAACGTAATGTGATTAGCCAATTAGCATTAATAAGATTTTATATGACAAGAATCTATGTACGTTGTTTAAGAATTTTATTTAAAATTTCTGCAAAAAATTCGTAGAGACTTTTTTCATTTATTCTAAACCAAAATAATCATTGTTTTTTTGAGAATATAATCAAATCACTTTAAATTATGACGTGCGCGCGTGCGCGCGCGAAAGGAAGAACTCGCGTTCACCAAGGAAAATACGCTCTCTCAGCTTTTTATGCTAATACCTATAAACTCCAACCCAATCGTCACTGTTATTACCGAGGCTACTACGGTCGATCGTAAATCTCTCGTACGACGGTTGGACGTTTCAAAAATGGTTCCTTCCGAGATTCGCGCGCACTCGGACTTGAGAAAAGGCATATGGGAATACTGATACACATGTACACACACACACACACACCCACACACACACACACACACACACACACACACACACACACACACACGACGCACGCACGCACGACACGCACGCACGCACGCACACATGCGCACACACACACACACAATTAAATAGAATTTCAAAAATAATGAAAAGAGAAAAACAGAATACGCCATAGTTTGATCAATACCAAAAATAGACATTGGCATTGACTCTAATCAAAAACAAGGTCAAACTTATTAGAAGAGATACTTCAAGTCGCACCTGTATCTCGCGCAAAACCGGTTGAGACGCGCTAACCGTGGAATGCGCTTGCTTTTCAGATGATGCGGTAGTGGACAGCCTCGCAGTGGCGAGTCCTTTTATGGATATCGAAGATTGAATTTGAGAGAAAAAAAAAATTTACGTACAGAACGGAGGAGAAAAAGGAATCTAGATGCTAGGTCGGATCAAAACGAATTAGAAGAGAGAAAGAGTTATTAACAGAAGGAAGAAAAGGGAACGAGATAGAGAAAGGAAAAGAGAAAGAGAAAGAGAGAGAGAAAGGAGTGATAGTGGGGGGGAGGGATGGGCGCTGGGATGGGCAGGAGCGGCACAAGCGGTGGTCTGCTTGAGGCACTTCCAACGGGAACTCCACTTCACGTGGCAATGCTCGGTCTCGATAGTGCTGGGAAAACAACTGCTTTGTACAGACTCAAATTCGATCAGTATCTCAACACTGTGCCGACCATTGGTTTTAATTGCGAGAGAATTCGCGGCGGCATTGGAAAAGCTAAAGGTATGTCCCGTCATAATGTCTCTGTCACCTCTTTTATTCCTTCCCATTTTTCTAATACTCGACGTATTTTAAAACCAACATTCTTGGATTTGCATGTTTAATGGCAGGCTCTTTGAAATTTAGAATTAATTTAGAATTGGCTAATTTAGAATTTTCTAATTTAGAATTTTCTTTTTAGTAAAGATAGATTAGTATACCGATGGTTTACGAAATACATGCGAATAGAAAAATTTTTCATGAATTTCAAATTTCAAGGAGTTAGACAATCAAACTGTACATTTTAATTAATTTTCGATAGAATTTATTTTAATTTATTTTAATATTTTTTTATAATTTTTGTAATTTTATAAAATATCGTATTTTTTATCTCTTTTGAGACTTTTTTTCAAAACATTGTTCAAAATCACATATTATAAGCTAATTTCACCACTATTGGCCAAATTTACGAGAAAACCATGGTTATCATGATGTTATCTATAGTAAACATCATATTCATCACGCTTATATAAGAATACAGTGTTACAAATACTTTGAAGCATTTTCAGATTAATCAATTAAACATTTTGAAGTTTTTGTAGTCACAAAATAAAACGCAATCTATATCACATGTGACCACTCATGTGATACACTCAGACAAAAGGAGATAAAAGATATTTTCTAATTTATATCTATATTTTTAAAGCTTCGTATTTAGTTTGATCCCTGGCTGAGGTGATTTTTTTGCAATATATATTTTCTATGGGAGGAATGATAAAAAGAAATCGATTATTTGGAAGGTATTTGATTATTGAATTGTTGTAGAACTGCTACGTTGTAAGTCTGCTAAAAATAGTGACATGTGGTCGATGATATAATTGTTTGAATTTATTTCATATAAATTTGAATATTTCATATAAATTTAGCAATCAAAATCCTGCTTGCCGAGGAATTGGTTATGATTCTCTCAGTTGTTTATTAATACTCTGCTTATATCAATGTATTCTTCATATTTAGCTTTTGTTTAAGAAATTAGTCCAAAAATAAAATGATGGTACTAGATTTTCTTTTACATGTACATTTTTCTTAAAAAAAAATCAAAGTTTAAAATGATTAAGTCGAAATTTTTTCCATTCATATATATATATATATATATATATATATATATATATATATATATATATATATATATATATATATATA